ATGCTTGGTTATTTAGTAAGCAAACCCTGGATTGGAATCCTAGCTCTCTCCACTTTGGACATTATTCTGGTCATGACTCCCTTTTCTTATCTGTGAAATGGGGAGTAATTGCAACACCTATCTCATGGAGTTGTTTAAATATCAGATAGTTAAGATCTTTAAAGTACTCCTAAGTGAGGCTACTGTAACTGTTGTAACTGCGATCTGTGCTTTATAAACTTTTCTTTTTCCCTCCCTTGGGAGTCTAGATACCTGGGCTGTGTCCCTTGTCTTCACTTCCGCTTTCCTTCTGTGCTAGGTATTTTGTCAAAGTGGCCTGGGCTTGGACCGTCTGTCTCCTCCTGCCTTTCATCGCCCTCACCAATTACTACCTGACCGGCAAGGCAGGCCTGGTCCTGCGGCGGCTGAGCACCCTGCTTGTGGGCACAGCCATCTGGTATGTGTGCACAGCCATCTTCTCCAACATTGAGCACTACACGGGCAGCTGCTACCAGTCGCCAGCCCTGGAGCGGGTCAGAAAGGAGCACCAGAACAAGCAGCAGTGCCTCGGAGCGGGCGGCTTCTGGTATGGCTTTGACATCTCGGGCCACTCCTTCCTGCTGACCTTCTGTGCCCTCATGATTGTGGAGGAGATGGCCGTGCTGCAGGAGGTGAAGACGGACCAAGGCCATTTCCTCCACGCCGCCATCACCACCCTGGTGGTCGCCCTGGGCTTCCTGACCTTCATTTGGCTGTGGATGTTTCTGTGCACGGCTGTTTACTTCCACGATCTGTACCAGAAAGCGTTCGGCACCCTGTTCGGTCTGCTGAGCTGGTATGGGACATACAGGTGTTGGTATCTGAAATCCTTTTCCCCCGGACTTCCTCCCCAGTGCCCTAGTTTGAACCTGAAACGAGACAGTTACAAGAAGTAGAAGAGAAACAAAGGGGGCGACACCAGGCAACGGCTGATATATTTTTCGTGTATTTTCCTTAGTTATTTGACTAAATGATTGCTGCTCCTCCAGAGAGGAAGCCTGCCAGACAGTTCCGGTGAGTGTGGTAGCGTCTGGGAGCCAGTCTGCCCTTGGCGACAGCTCCTGGTGTCACAGGTACCACCGTAACCAGTCGGGCACTTTCGTCCCTGGCGAAACTTAACCTTAATCTGGACTGTCCTTTGTGTCCCCAGAGGACGGAGTCAGGAACGCCCCCGGGGCCCGATGGAAGGGAAGCCAGGGCTGCCGCCACGATTCTCTCTGACTCTGGTCGTCTTCTGTTTTAATGGCTCTTCGTGCTGTTATTTGATCTTTGTTTCCCTCTGGTCAGCTTTGCAAAAGCATTTGTTTCCTGCAGGATTCTTTAAAAGCCAGTGGTTTAAAAGACATCTCAGGTTGTAGCATTTACTTCATCTGTGGAATGTTACATATTGCAGCTGGCTTGTGATTAGCTACTTAAACATACTGGAGTGCCTCAGTGTGACTGAGCACTGGCGAATTTTGAATTTTACGTAGTGAGCATTGAAGATGTTCTCTCCACGTGTACCGCTACATGTGGTTTTAGAAGAGGTACTGCCTTTTTTTTCTTTCATTTTGAGTGAACGCTTTAGCGTTTTTAATGCAACCATGACATTTTGTTCTGGGCTGATAGCACTCCCCGAAAATAACTCAGAACTGCAGTGCTGCACCTCTGGCACGTGTGGAGATGCTGTGAGATTTTTTTATGAACACTAATTTACTTTTTATAAACCAAACTCTTGGCTTATGGTATAAAATTCCGTCTCACAAGGCTGTTTGTTTGTAAGAATTAAACCAGACAGCAGACACTATAACAGTGACTCCATGAGTTATAAACTGAGTCAGAATAATTTCGCAAAACGGGCTTACTTTGCACTGAAACTTTGCTGACCACAGGAGAGTGGTGGGCAGTGTCGGGAGCAAGGCCCTCGGCACACTCACCTTTGCACAGGTTACGATAGTCAGAGGTGAAGGAAATGTCTTCCTTTGCTTCTGATGGCAGGAAGCCAACCTGCTTGCAAAAATATCCTTATTCAGTGGTGGGTGGCTTTGGCCCAGCCTCCTCTTGCATCAAACCAAAGCTACATCTGCTGAACATCTTTCCCCTGGCAACCACTCTCCATTTGCAGGCTTGTCGTGACCTTCACTGTGAGGGTGCTGGGAAGAGAGGAGTCCCTCCATCTCAGAAGGGTACAATCACATATACACCCCAGGCTGGTCTCCTTAAATCCTTCCAGCCACCCCTTGACTTCTGGGTAACCCGTGAAGCTGCTCTGATGTCCCTAATCTAGCTTGATAACATCAGCTGATGGATAAGCGATACCCTTGACTGACTTAACTCCAGCGAAGTTGCTAGGAGCAGGAAGGCCGGAATCTTTCAGGGTAAATTGTATTTCATGTAAAGGTGGATTTGAAATATGTATCCTTAAGGGCCGCTGGTTGATCTGTATCACTCAAATGAGTGTGTGATAGGGCAGAGACACCTGCGTGTGAGCTGGTGGAAGAGCCGCCTGGTACTTTGGAAGCCCTGGCAAGATGGGATGGCCTCCAGGAGAGAGTTTTTTTGTCCGGTGGCGTTTATAGCTATATACTCGGGGGTAGGATGTGTGCTGGGGTCTTGTTGAAGGGATTGGAAGCTCCCCAGAGTTTCATGGTCAGCAACAATAGGCACAAGGTAACTCCAGAAGTTCACTTGTTACATTTAAATCTCTTGCTGTCTCCTTCAGCCTTAAATTAACAAAAGTCAGTTATCCAGACATGTGCTGATGAGTCTTCCACCACTTCCTGCTCATTCTTGCCTTGTTCTTGGGAACAATCTCCCGACCAGAGAGAGTGAGAGCTGGACGAGGTCGGTTTTAGGCAAACGGGTGTGGGTTCAGATGGTGGCACTATTGCTGATGGCTGCCTGCCCACCAGGGACAGGCTTCATTCTCATCTGTAAAGCGGGATGATAACGTTAGCATTATTGAAAAGGTGCGTGTACTGTGCCCATCCCAGGTGCTGGCAGGCCATCACCCTCAGCTGCCTCTCCCTTGGCTGGGCCTTCAGATCTTCATGGCTCCCCTAGAGAAGGCAAGGAAATGAACATCTGTTGAGTGCCATCTGCACTGGCTCCTGTTAAAATAATCTTGTGTTGCCTTTTGGAAAGTGTCTTGTGCCCCCCCGGTGCGGAACAAGAGGCTGCCGAGGGCTTCCACGATCACGGGAACCCGCCTTCCTGAGTTGCCTCTCGGTGCTGGGGTTCTTGCACTGAAGCCTCATTTTCCACGTGCATCTGTCATAGTCTGAGTACCAGATTGTATTTAGAGGATGGCTCTTGCCACTGTTACATACACAAAGATCACGCGTGTGTAAACAAGCGAATGAAGTAAACTGGAGATAATAAAACCCCTTGTTCCAGCGTTTCGTGTGTTTCTTTCTGAATCCCTTAGCTTTCCAGAGCCCAGTGAAAGCTCATCCCCCTTTGCGAAGGCTGTGTAACTCTTTCTTGAGCCACTTGTAATTGAGAGGGTATTTCTTGGCTGCAGTTTCTCTTCTTTTTTCTCCTACACCCTGTAAACTAAATATGTGTTCAGTCATTTCTTAGCTTGATTTACACCTTCCCACTGCCAGGTCCGTGTCTGAAAGTCCTGAGACCTAGATCAGAAAACTGTTGGGAACAGTTTTCTTGGCAGAGAAGAGTTGAGCCTCACTGACGTAACACTGAAGAATAGCTACAAAGTTCACGTAGCTGAGCCTGTGGCTGGAGGCCTCTACGAGTGTGAGGGTTTTTGTGTCATTTCGTGCCCACTCGTTTGTCAGCCTGACCTACTTGGCACCTCCACTGAGTGTGTTGAAAGCTCAGTGGCTCCCGGATTAGAATCTCCTCACACGCAAACTTCCCCACTCAGATTTCCTCAACAGCCACAAACCCTTCCTGATTCACACTGCGGACCAGAAACGGATGGGTTGATAAACTCCCCCAAAGCATTTGTGGCTCGGAGTCCATCCTTTTGGCACTTCAAATGTGTGCTGGTTGCACAGACAAATTTGATCTCTGCAGTGGAAGGAGTTTTCAGTCTTCAGGAGGAGACCTGGAGGGAACCAGCATCCCTGAGTCCTGGGCAGGTCAGGACCTGGGAGCAGAGCAGGAGACAACCAGCATCCCTGGGAGTTAGGGACTGTTTTCGGAGAAGTTAACAATACTTTTGGGTTTTGAAGGATGAAGAGGAATTCAAGCCGTTGGGTGGAGAAGGAAATTCAGGAACGCAAGGACAGCCTATGAAGTCACCCATAAGTTGCCCTGGTTTTTACACAGGCACCGTTTCTCAGGAAACCGAGCTCATTTTCACTTTCTCAGGAAGTCCCATCATTTTCAAAAGCGAAAGAGCCTAAAGAAAGGCAGAATTTCTTTTCTTTAGAGAAACCCTGCCGGTATTTTTGTTGGAATTTTGTTAACTTTAGCTATAAATTTGGTAGGAATTGACATCTTTTTTTTAAAATTTAAGATTTAGTTATTTATGCATACAGAACTGGGGCACAGGAAAGGCAGAATTTCTAAGTGCTGTTGATGGAGGTCTTGGCTGTTCCCTGCTGTACTTTAAAGAATTCCCAGCTAGAAGTTAGAATACATGGCTTGAGTTGTGTTCTGCCCCAACATTTTCTAAAATTTTTTATGTGAACTTGAATTAGTCACTTGGTGTCTCGGTGTCAGTTTCCCTATCTGATAAGTGATGGCAGTGGACTGAAATCACCTCACTGACTTCGATTCCATCCTGTTTCTCTGCTTGGCGAAAAGTTCTTCCCAAGCTCATCGAGACTTTTAGGAAACTGTCAGTCAGAGCGGAAGTCACAGCTGGTTCCCTGGTGAGTGATGAGGGGGCTCCCTTTTCTCTGCTTCAGCAGAGACCTGACTGTGGGTCCCTATGAATGTAACAGCCCTGGGAGGAGTTGGGGAGGGGGGTATTAAACCTAATTCCCAGAGAGATGAACTGCAGAAACCTTTGCAACAACCCAAATCAGGGCCCTCCCTGGTGGTGGAACGGGTTAAAGCACAGCCACTGTCCACAGCCACTGCAGCACAAGTTCCAACCTGGCCAGGGAGTGACCCATAGGGCGCAGCAGACCTCTCCTGACCCGCCCGCTGCTCTCCTCAGCTTATGTTTCAGTCAGTCGGCCTGTTCTGCTCCCCATTCTATCTTTGGTGAATCCTCTCACCCCCCATACCTCTGGCCTGTACCGCAGTTCTTATATGCATAAATAAATAAATCTTTGGGGGGGGAAAATGCCCCAAATCAAGCCATTTTTCATAACTATGAAGGAAAAGGTAAGTTCTATTAAGAAAAAATCCTGCTGTGTTATTACCTTCAGAAAAAGTCCCAGAAGACCCTAGTCGAGTCTGGTGAACACAAAAGCCAAGAAAGCAGTTACTCTCATGGAGAGGGGAGATGGTACATTAGTGCCACTGATGGACCTGAGGGCAGCCTATTACCCACATTTGAGATGTACGGACCAGCAGTCTCGCTCCAGGGAATTGCACTGTGGGACTTAACAAAAGTTCTCCCAATGCATTTTGAAGATCTTTCTGACTTTATTCATTAATTCCTGAGCCAGGCAGCACCCCATTAGCAAGTGGAAAGGCACTAAGGAGTCACTCAAATGGAAAGTGTGATAGGCAGAGGCGGGACAAAGGTCTTAGCAAAAGAACGGAAAGATCATTCAGGTGGTCCCCGTGGGGGTCGGGGTCTTACCATGCAGGTGCCTGCCAGTGCTGGCCAGGAGCTCCAGGTTTATTGCATTAAAATTTCCTAGGGGGTAGAGGTCGGGGCAGAAGGCCCTTGGGGCCTGCGGCAGCTCATCTGAGCGCTGTGGCACCCTCTAGCCTGCTGGCCTTATTCAAGCTGGGTTCTGAACATTGACTTTCACAGCTTTCTGATTCTGGCTCTGCCAGGCTCTCTAGCTGTGTGACCTTGAACAAGTTCCTCCACCTCTTAGTCTCAGTTTCCCCATCTAGAAAAGGGGGGAAATGCAGTTGTCCGCCTCATGGTAGTGAGTAGATGAATCGATCCCTGTAAGGTGATAGAACAGGACCCAGTGTGAGCTTGGTCCCCAGGCTGCCATCACCACCGTAACTATCTTGCGCTTGTCATGTGTCATTAGCTCACTCTGGAGGTCCTTGAAAGGTCTAGTCAGTAAAAGGTTTGTGACCTTTTGGGACTAACAGTCTGGTTTTGGGGTCCAGGGGGGTGGGTAGAGAAATGAGAGTTTCCGGACCCGCTGAAAGGAAAGGGCATACGTGTACCTGTGGGGTCCTTTTGGCCAAGGTAAAGTTAGTTCCGCTGGTTGAGGTGCTCGGCTGACAGCCAGCAATGGCTTGGGCCCTGGGAGAGTCTGAACGCCTGACGTGAAACACGAAGTTTCTGTGCAACCTGAGCTGCTGCTTTTGGGGGAGTGGGCCCTCCCGCCTCCCCATCTCTGCAGGGTGTGACTGCAAACATGTGTGTGTGAGGTGGGTGATGCCTGGGGGCTGAGGAGGTGGCGGGAGTGTGGAGTCACCCTGATTAGCATCTGAGTTTCTGATCCAAGTTCGACAGGCCCTGCCCGAACAAGCCTCTGTTCCCATTCCCAGCTCCACTCCTTCCAGCCTTCCTTGCCTTCTGCGTGCCCTTCCTGTGCGTGCTGGATGGTGACATAGACCTCTGCTGCTGGGGAGTCACACGGGGTGACGGGCGCAAGCTGACTCTCATCTGGAGTTACTGGAAGCACCACACTGACGCAAGCAAACTGTAGTCAAATCCTGCTCTCATCTCAGCTGTGTGATCTTTTTTTTTTTTTAAGAAAGATTTATTTATGCATACAGAACTGGGGGTGCAGGGCAGTGCAGTGAGAGTCTTCACCAGAGACAGAGTGGGGAGCAGATCAGGCAGATGGACGAAGTACACTGCTGAGGGGAGCAGCGGGCAGGTCAGGAGAGGTCTGCCGGGCCATGTGGATCACCTCCAGAGTGGGGATTGAACTCGTGCTGCAGAGGTTACAGACAGCTTCATAATGCGGTGCTTTAGCCTGTTGTACCCGGGAGGGCCTTCATGTAATTTTTAAAGTAATACTGGATACACTGAGTAGCAGGTAAGTGTGGAACTGTGAGGTAGGCTTGCGGTGTGCAGACTCCACTAAGCCCTACTAGAATTCACCTCATACCCCAGGACTTCAAATCGTGTCACCTGTAAATGAAAATTTTCCTTTTGAGAAATCATCTGGCTTGCTTCTGAGCACTGACAGAGACAGAACACCTGACCAGGGATACCAGGTGAGCATGCAGCCAGAGCTGCCCTTCCTGAGTTAGGTGTCACCTGACCAGCAAGGCACCGAGACAGGCCTGGGCAACAGCAGGCTAACATCAAGTGAACGTGAAGCCACTCAGAGTATGTCACCTATTCCTGCCACATGGCCACATCTTCCTGGTGGCCTAAAGCCTTGTGACAAATTGCCAGTGATCAACTGATGGAGGAAGAAAAAAACTCATTCCTGGAACCAATTGGAAGTGGATAGGGGCAACTTTACAGGGCGTCATGAAAGACATCGGAGAAGGGAAATCTCTCAGTGGACAGAACTTTAAGCAGGGCGCTGGGTGGTCCAGAAATACACATCTACACATTGTCAGGGCGTGAAGTCTTCACCAGCTGATCAGGAACACGGGAAGGGCAAGGTTGCAGGTTGGTAGTCTGCGGGAGAAGGCGTGGGCCTCTACCGATGTACACAGGAGAGATCTTTATGTGTGTGACTAGTCCCCGCAAAGGTGCTTAGCATGGAAGAGACTCTCAACCAGTTGTTAAGAGTACTGTATCTAAGGAATACTGGTGACCGTTAAATGCATGTTTTAAACTGCCTGTTACAGTGTGTTGAGGGAAGATTGTGACAGACAAAATGACCTCTGTGGGTGCCAGTCAGTCATTTACTTTCTGAAGCGACTCTGTCTGTGCCCAATGACTCATAGGCAAATGGCCATAGAATTTGAGGTGCAGTTTATAAGTGCGTATGACGTGGACTTCCTCTCAGCAAGACTGATTTAGCTCTTGTCGCTGAGGGCACAGTTTGCACAGGAACTGGCCACCTGTTACATTGACCCTTTCCTCAGAGACAGAGTAGCAATTTGGATGTAGATTTGCCTCCTTTGACCATATCACGGGACACACAATGTTGCATTATTACAGCAAGAAAGATGCAGCAGTGTGATTACACTATTGGGTTTTCTGGTCCACTAGGTACTCCGTTATCTAGCAGCAACTAGACTCACAGAGCATAGAAATAGCCGATTGGAGATTCTGTTATAGCGCCAGCTGAGAGACATGGCGATGTGGGGGTAATGTCCTACAGTGCTATTTTTCCCACACCAGGATAAACTGGATCCAGGAATACTG